CCCCTGAATGCCCTGTTTCTGTGATACATGTGATTAGCATGCCACATGCCTAGCGTTCACGATTATCATAAACAGTCCAATATACCTGTATACTAACTCAATATTTAGTTGTCAGATACGATAAGGGTACATGTCTCACACATTAAAGTATGCGTGTTTACTCAATATTTGGTTATTACACATGGTAAGGGTACATATCATACACATAACATAAGGTATAAGTGTATATATATATATATATATATATATATATATATATAATATATAATATATATAATGATATATAATAATATATATATATAATATCAGGAGTAGATAATAGAAGATAAAGATAGTAGATAATAGAAGATAAAGATAGTAGATAATAGAAGATAATCTTCTATTATCTACTCCTGATAATATATATAATCGTTATAGGTAAGGTGTAATATGCATGTTTACAGATAACGACATGGATTCGCTGCTGAGTACAGCGGAGAAGCAGAGACTTGTGGAACACGAGCTAATAAACATGCGAGCCATCGAGTTCGACAAGCATCTACCAGGATATGACAAGCTCACGCTCTACGTTGGAAAATCCCTGAGTATGTTGACGCCACTCACTCACGCTTATAATAACGCCCGTAGCCTTAGAAGTGCACAGGCCTGGCTTAGCTTATTGCTTGGATTCGAACGACTGTACATCTGACACATCCACACAGACTCATACACACATACGCTTGCACACAGACACTCACACAAAGACTCTTTTCCACAGACTCTCACACACAGACTTTTACGTAAAGATTTGCACACAGACAATGACACGCATGCATCCACATGCATTCACTTATATTAGATTTGTCTAACGCAGAAGAATGTATCAAAAAGACTGCACACATATGCTACCACACAGACTTTTACGTAAAGATTTGCACACAGACAATGACACGCATGCACCCACACGCATTCACTTATATTAGATTTGTCTATTTTGTAAATTTTTCCAAGGTACAAAAGTGCATGAAAAGGGTGTGATCGTTCAGTATGTACCACCTGCATGAGCGAGACACGCATGCGAGAGGCTAGGACACCGAGCTGGTAGTCCAGACCACTGCGTGTCGGCCGTATTCAAACCAGCTGGGTATTACAGCGCGTGATAGCCACGAAGCTTGAGGCACATATTGTCTGGGTCTCGGTAAACGGCCCGGACGCTTAGATCGCGGTTGCTGTGACCTTGAGCGCAAGGCCATTTTATCACGATTAGCATTCAGCGCATGTGATAAGCCGGCGTGAGCAAACGGTTCTGCGATGCTACATCAGTAGGGTTGTGTTAGCAGCCAGTGGGGGAGCTCTCACTCTGTAAAGCACAAACATATCATACTTGCCCTGCACCACATGTTGTGTTATGATTTTTTTCGGTTTCTTTATTTTATAGGCTGGACACGTCAAGGGTCTTAAATCCACATGCGAGTGAAACCCAACTCCAGGATTCTGGCTCGGTCCATTTTGGCCTCAGCCTAGGAACGGTCGCCACGCTTGTTCTCCATGTGACACGATCCAAGGGTCTACAGCGGAGAGATTCCACTGTTTCGCTATCCTTCTTACACAAACCTCGCCATTGCCAAGAACATCTCTGGCCTCGGCCACGTCTCCTAACCACCAACAACAGTCGAACTTACGACACTGGTCTGATGGCACCGGTGGAAGCGGCTGGAATATGGCCATACCACGGAGTTTTCCGTCACTCCGTATATAAGACATCAAGGGGTCGCAAGATACCCAGTCTCGCGCAGCACCACTCGTTTGGAATGGGCCAAGTCCTCGATTGGTGACACTTGGCATAGATCTATCTGATCATTGCGCAACAAACACTAAGAACGAAGAAAAAGCAAGAAGGAAGAAGCTGAAGGATGAACTATGATGATGACGATGAGCAATGATGCATGACTAGGGCGATGATGATGACGATGAAGAAAAAATAAAACAACCAAGACCACAAACCGCACAGAATGGCAGCGGTGGCGGCCGATGGCACGACAGCGGCGAGCGCGAAGAGAAAAAGACGAAGCCGACCGTCTCCGCACGCGCCCCGTGCGTCTTGTTCGGGGCCAGACGACATCCGCTGCGGTACTCGTGCGGCGAGGAAGGCTTGGGCGTCTAGCTTTGCTTCCTGGGCTATCTACACGAAGCGGCGTCGTGCGCACCGCCTCCATGGCAATCGTCTACTTCGCAATGCTGGTCGTGGACTAACGTCAACAAAGCACAACGTTCTTCGCACGGTTCAAGCCTCATCTGGGTTACGGTGTGTTCTGGGAGGACGTGGAAGCGACGAATGCACGAGCTCAGTGGATATGGGTGGGGAGAAACGATCGCATGCAGCCGTTCGAGGAGGCCGCGCGCGCGCGTTTCAAGGTGAGAGGGGAGGCGCGGGAGGAAGGTCGAGCGTGTTCGCTTGTTTTCGTATTGTGGTTCTTGTTTTGTTCTTCCTGGCATTGGTTTGCGGTCTGTGCTGCGGCAGGTAAATTTGTTACTTGTTCCATCAGCAGTAGGCTTCTGGTTGGTTGTTTGTTTGTTTTAACTTAGCTAGGTCGTTTGTTTGATACAGCTGGCTTTGTTAATGAAATGCTGTTGGCTAATTAAATACTTTATTGTTGTAGGTGGTTGTTTGGCTCAGTGAACCTGTTTTACTAGCAAGGAACTGTTCTTTCTGGTGGGCGCTGTGGTCTCATGCTGCCTTGTGCTAGGCATTTGATGTTGATAGGGCAAAATGTTATGGATTTTTGAATTTTTAATATTTTGGTCTCAGTTAATACTGGTGTGGGTTTTCGATGCAGGGTAAGCGATGCGGGTGAATCCTGTGACGGGAAGAAATGAGCCAACGTACCCATCCTGGAAGAGGGCCATGTAAGTACTCTATGGAGCATTCACTGAACATCGTGATGGTCTCGTCTCTACTGTCGGCATTCTATGCTGAGTGTTTGGCTCGGAGTTTTTGCAATTGGTTATAAGTATGATTTTATTTTTTATAACCAAAAATTCAGTATATTTATTATTTAATGAAAATTTATAAATTCATGGTGGCGAATTAACGGGAGATCGGAGTCAAAATACTCCTGATGTTGCTGTCGGACTCCGCTGATTTGACATATGGCAGGAGTCCGTGTATCCCATGAAAATTCTTGCCATATCGCAACTAGTTCAATCGCAGAGGCACGCGCTCGCGGAATTAACGTATTTTCCAGCCTAAATGCCAAGAGAAAATTGGCAGAACGTGCAACGCACATGAATCTTAAAGAAAAAGCCATGTCGTTTAGTATAAATGCTTTAATTTTGAACGTCAGACTGCGGACTCCGTCATTTTGCTGAGGACATCCCTCTCAATCGCGTTGGAACTCCGTGTTGCAAAAGTCTAAATTTCACCGCCTGAAATTAAAATCATTTATAATATATATTATATATATATATCTGATATATATATAGATATATTAATATTATATATATAATTGTGTCTGTAGAATAAATTAAAGACGAAGACATCACTTTTTAGGCTGTTACTTGCTCAGAGTTATCAACGGCTTTAAAACGCGATCATTAAGACACTTTAATGAAGAATAAACTTGTAATACATTCATAACCTCTATATAACATAATGTATGTAAATATGCTATACTAAATAGGCGCCATTCATGTTTATAATATCGATATATAGGTTAGTGTGAAATGTCGCGCGGCCCCCGCACTCAGTGTTATTTAGGGTAACGCATATCTGCGCGTTCCTCCCCTTTGGAAAGCACCAGCCCTATTCCTCAGGACACCACCAAAATTTCTGACCGCGCACCGTTTCGCCGAGGCGCTTTTTGGCGGTTTTTCCCTGCCTTGGGAGAACGCCCCTAAATCCGGAAACTAACGTATGAACTGAGGTACCGCGTTCGCCGATACCAGCCTTTACTCCGGTACGTATCCCTTCGCTACACTGCGTAGTGACGTTAGTGTAAAACCGGGTGGGGAACTGTCGGACGCGGTACCCAGTCCTACACTACGTTAGTGGTAGCAGTTCAGTGGATTGAGGGGACTAGGGAGGCAATATTTTATTTTTGCCCAAAAATGAAATAATCCTGATGAGGCTTAACTAGCTGCAGGCAATTTGCAGCGAATTTGATCCCGGGATTTGCGCGCCGAAACTTTGATCCGCGGGATTTGAGTTTTCTTATGATATTCAAGATGAAAAGAAGAGGAGGAAACACATCGCCGCTTATTTATAAGAAAATCCTCGCGGGTGAAAAGTCGAGGAAAATCAAATACAGGACCCCGCTTTTTAGCAATTCTTGGGCCGGAATTTTGTCCGCGCGTAGAAAATACCCTTTACTGAGATATTGGGAACGCCGCGATGCGGTCCTTCGACCTCGGAGTGGGGCGGCCGGGTGGAATGTATCCAGGTTTATGTCTTTCATTAAAGTTTGTCTGATGATCGCGTAAAGCGTGAACTCGGAGTAACAGCTAAAAGTGATGTCTTGTCTATTAATTTATCTACAGATACAATTTATTACGTCTCTGGCAACTTATGCATCGAGCACTGTCACCGCGACAGTATAGACTCAAAGCATCCAGGACATATATAATAACGTAGTGTGATTGCTATTATAATCTGATGCAGTCCGCACATTTGCCTTGCGATCAATTATGCAAGATAACTTGATCTACTAATTACAATAGTTTTAACTTAAAACTGTTATTCATAACCAAACAAATTTTTGGTTTAACTAAACGGGAGAATGGCGTGCAGAGTATTATTTATAAACTAGCAACTATGGTCATTGTGAGACATAAAAGTACAATGTGAGCTTGCTGAACATCTATGTGGTAGTATATGGCACTCAGTTACTTTATAATCGTATTAATTATTTGCATAGGCTACATTTTTTGCAATTAAGCAGCACACGCTACAGATTCTTCATTAAAGTTTGTCGCTAGCGTCTGTGTAATTCGGCGGCCCCCACTGTGTTTTTGTATCCACACAGGTGATGCTGATCTACTTCCGTCTTGAGTTCTGGGCTCAAGGTCGCTACAAGCTTGACCCGACACTGTTCAACCGTCTGCTGCTGTTTGTGCCAACCACCCTCTACGCTCTTGTGGTGCTTAGCATGAACGCTGCCTATCGGGTGCTAGCAACCAAGCTCACAAACTGGGGTAGGCTTCTTTGAAAGTGTGATCGTAACTAGGAATCAGACAAATCTGTTGTAAAGCAAATAGGGAGTTTAAACGGTTACAATTCACATGTTCATAAAGATACAAAGGTTAGTGGTCATTATGATGTCATTTTAAAGCCTTTATGCAGATGAGTACTTCAAATATTAGCGATCAGTATCAGGTGGTGATTGAAATTGGACTGTAATATGAGACAATACCATTAATTTACTCAATAACAATTCATGTCTATATTTTTTATGGAAAGTTATTTTATGTAATGAAGTTTTACTTTAATACTAACTGTAATACATGCATTATTTCAGAAAACCACCGGCTACAATCATCCTACGAGAATCAGCTTATCGTTAAATTAGTCCTTGTAAGTAATATTTAATATATGGTTAGTATGACTCAAAATTCACAATTTAGTCATTGTGTATGATTCGACTTGTTTTGCTAAGTTTGGCATCAATGTCAATAAACTGCTGACAATTAATATATATGCAAGCCGGAATAAGTTGTAGTTTACATAGCTATATAACAGAGAAATAAAAGAAAACTAGATTATAATCTTTGGATGTGACAAGGCTATGTATGCATTCTTGTGTGTAGGTCGTCTGAAGATATGCTCTTATATTTATGTAATTTATCCGATATCACCGTGATCATTTTTACGCAATGTGCTATTCACATTTCTGTTTCTTTTTCAGTTTGATTTCATCAACTGTTTCATGTCCCTGTTCTACATTGCATTCGTCCTACAAGATCTGAGACTGCTCCGAATAGTAAGTGTAGTTTATTCGTATATTGCATATCTATCTCTTACAGCAGTATCTATCTTGCTCTGCTGTCGTATTTATTTCTGAAACATCAAATCAGTAGCACTGGTATAGTCTGCACAGGAAATTTAATCAGGATTATTCATCAACCAAGGAACCAAGGAAAACCAAGAAAAATTGCCTTGTTTAGAAATTGAACCCATATTGTTTTAGCCCTCTTTGGTAGGTGAAACAACATTGCATTCTAGAGCAGGATATTTTAGGGTAGCTGTTTGCACTGGCGTCGCCAAGAATTCTATGTTAAATTTACTTGCCTATAGGTGACGCTAGTTGTACTTCTGTGGTTTACTTGTTGTGACTCTAAAATATTATCAGGAGTGTCATAATATCAGGAGTCTATCAATATTGATAGACTCCTGATAATATAGATTATATTATATAGTCAAATGCAGATATGCAAATGTTATCTAATATTTGGCAGGGTCACACTCTGAACCAGAACAAATTCCTGACTAATTTCATCCCGTAAACCTCAATTTAATCTAATATACTTGGGTCTTCTACATTTTACAAAATGAAACCCTGGGTTGTGCTGGGCGCAACTGTAACCAATCTTGAAATTGCAGCAGGAATGCTTCAATATTGAAAATAACATACATGTAAATCATCAAAATATATATTACTTAAATGATGTCTATTTCTTAATGTCTTGGTGATATATTACTAATGTAATTATGGATTGATGATGACTTCTTTGGTGATTCAAAATGGTAGAGGCAATAATTAAGATGTCAAGATAGATATTTGTTCATGTAATTATAAGGGGTAAGGAGGCAATTAAGCGTATTAACATTGGTAGCTCGATTGTACTGCAGAACCTAATAAGTTTTTCCTCTCATGGCAGAGCCTGGCAACACTCCTGATCACGATGCAGATAGTAGGGCAGATGCAGGAAGTGTTGGTGCCATACCTGCTCAAAAAGTACAAGAAATGGGAGCTACAAAAGCAGGGGAAAGAAAATGGAGAGGAGAAGTTTGATGACATGGAAATGCAGAAAAGACAAGCAAAATATCCCGTAAGTTTAATCAACCAAACGGAATTATCTTGGCTTGCTGCAATCCTAATTGGCGAACGATTGGTCGATGTAAGTGTTATGCACATTTGTCTTTAGCTGTTCTGATTGGGAAGATATGATACATGCAGAAGTTAGTCTTGATAAAAAATAGCATAATTCGAAATTTACTTCCTAAAATTTACCTAAAGGTTTGTGCACTATGCTAACATTATTAATGTATCATCTTTTGTAGAGGTGGTTTTAAATGTAAGACATGGTTCTAACTATTTATGGCTCTAGTTCCATATACTGTGCTCACAAATTACAAAGCACCTGGGCAATAACAATTTAGTGCTGATTGCCCAGTAATGCAGATAAGGTCTATGTCTTCCTGGGTACTGCCGGAACGTACCCTGGGTACGGTCCGGTATACCGGAACGTACCCTGGTAACTATCTGATATGGTTAGGGTTAGGGAGTAGGCGTAGGCGTAGGTGACATATATGTACCTGAGGTAACTATCTGATATGGTTAGGGTTAGGGAGTAGGCGTAGGTCGACTCCCTAGACTCGTTAGTGGAGTAGGCGAGGTACGGTCCGGCATATTTGATAGTACCAAGGTACGTTCCGGTATACCGGACTGTACCCAGGGTACGTTCCGGCAGTACCCAGGGAGACATAGACCCTGGCAGCCCCAGTAATTGGCAAGTGCTGTTACAACCATTGGCACAATCGGTACGTTAGTAAAATGCGTAGATGTATGTTGATGTTGTTCTTTTGATTATCGATTTCATGATCGCAAGGCATATTTGGAAATGCTACACTGCTCCATAACGAGTTGAAATAGGTCCCTTCCTCGATCAATTTAGGTACTGCATTCACCTCGCATTCTGTATATGCCTCATGTACTGTCGTTGCAGGGAACGTTTGACGACTATCTGGAACTGTTTTTGCAATTTGGTTACGTCTTCCTGTTTTCGTCCGCCTACCCCCTGGCTGCCTTCTGGGCTCTACTTAACAACGTTCTGGAAGTACGGACCGACGCTTTTAAACTGTGCAGGGTTTTCCAAAGGCCATTTTCGCATCTGGCTGCATCAGTTGGAGCGTGGCAAGTACGTGACTCATTCCCTGATACATTTACCAATCAATAAATCACGTCTATGCCAATTATGTACATTGGAAAAAAAAAATTTCGTAAAAGAACAGTTTCCTGACAATTAAAATAAATGTAGCCCCGTGACGCACTGTTATTGAAAGTCGTCACGCTAAATCTTTGCCTCTCGATTATTTTAGGTTGCGTTTGAGGTTATGGGAGTAATAGCGGTAATTACAAATTGTGCCCTGATTGCTATATCACCGCAAAGCAAGTCATTCTTCCCAGAAAGCAGCACAACAGAGCTGCTACTGATCTTTGTCGGAATTGAGGTGAGTGGGGAAGCTCCACATTATTTCTCAATACTATTTATTTCGATGACCACCTACATACCCAAATGTTTACTGTTGGATTCCACATCCACACAACCACCACACTGCGATGTTGCCAGTAATACTGAGCTGACAGATACATATCACAGGTCACTCCCAAGTATTATATTCTCAGGTGCGACAGTGAATTTTGTCGGTGAATATAATTAACTTGTTTATTTTTGGCAGCATCTGATTCTGGGTGCCAAGTTGTGCATAGCCTACCTCGTCCCAGACACACCAGAGTGGGTGGAAACAGCGCTGGCTAAGATTGAACATCAGTCTAGAGAAGCACTTAAACACGATGTATGTTATCTCACCCCAGTGTTAATAGTCTGCCTGCTAGTCACACACAGTGTTTGTTGTGTGTTTAGCTGTGAGAAATCAAAACTTCAATTTTAGATTGCCTGATGATATCATGTTTACAATTTGCAAAATAATTGTACCTTTGTAAAATTGTACCTTTATTATGCTTTAAACCTATTACCTATCTATATATCTATCCATCTACTATATATCTATTTCAGAGGTCACAGCAAACAAGAAGGCTATTTGAGAAGGGTTCTTCCTTGGACATTGACTTCCCTGAACGTTCTGGTCCAGTTGAAACAGAAATATAAGCACATTTGCTATATGTTGCATCGACCTGCAGCATACAATTAACACCTACAGCAATAATATTATGTATATTTAAATAATCTGACCTTTTAATATTACATTATATTGTCTTCCGTTGTGCTATGCAATAACTTTACTGGCAGAAATGTGTTTATTCCGTACTAAATTTTAGTGAGCGATGATAGCGTTGTTAGCGAGAGGTTTTCACGATGTACTGTCGTCTGTAGCAGTCATGCATTTAGTCGTGTTTTTTTCTCTCTGGAAACTAGAGACGCTCGAGTCAAAGTTATTTGCGTGCAATGTATGTTGTGTATGTGTATGTTGTAGCTTTTACTGACAATCATCATCAAATGTCGCTTTTATAAAACCATTCTTAGTTATTCAGGATCATTTGGGAATTAGGTAAGTCGGTACTGCAAAAATAATTTAAAGATACAGGTGAATGGGTTTATTATTTATAAGTTTTTAATCGGGCAAAGATGGGTGATGTAGTAGTAAGGTTGGTGGATTAATTAGGATGTGGTTAAAGATGTAAAAAATATTTATTTTTATATATAATAATGTAGCTCATCTTCCACGCGTTCTTGCAGATGTAGCATAACAAGCTAAACGCTGGTGTGTTTGTATATCTATGATATTTATTGCGCAGGCATGATAAATTGTACTGTTCAGACTCCCGCCTCTGCGATGCCAATTTTCTGCAGCAAGCAGCTTTTTCCCTCGCTGGGCATTGATTACACTTGCAGTCCTTCTAGCCAACCATGCACCCTGCTGGTGACATTGAAACAGCTGTGCTATGCTGGGTAACCAAGAGATCTATCCTTATAGCAGCAGCTTTATCATTCCCGCTCTGCGAACAGTAATTTCGGTATCATGTGTGTCATATTTGCTAGCGTAAAGGTCGTTCTTTACAACTGTGTCGTTTGAGAAAAGTAATAGAAATCGACTTGGGCGCAGAATGTAAAAATGATTTTATGTCTTCCTTGAGAAGTTCGTGAAAATGCTGTCCTTTTTACTTTTCGCTAGGAAATGTGAGCGAGAGCAATTTTCTGCTTTCATCGACAGCTTGTTTTGATAGTTTTTAGTTCCTTGCTTTTACACTATCCGTGTATTTTTTTAAAGGCGAGTTATACTATTATATGTTTTAGTTTAACTTTCCTATTGTTGGTAATAATCATTTATTAATAATAATATAATGGCAAATATATAGTATACCACACAGGCGTGCAAACTTGAGGTGGTAAATTTATGGTAATATTTATCAGCATTTTACATAATTGTATATGACTAAATCTGCATAAATATAAACGTATTTATGCACATATTTGCTTATCTGAAACACTTAATCACTGCTTATCAGCATCCGTAAATAAACAAGTCGCCATTACTAATGTATGGTAATTACAAAGTAGTAAGCGATATGAAGAATACTGTCATCTTGAAAAGTCTGCAGTAACTATTTCGGGGTCTGGATGACGAACTTTTATTGTAGCTGTTTAGATACAGTACAGGGTGTTATTGTTATTAAACTCACTCGCAATTGAAACATTTTGAAGTCTTTATCGGGTTAAAATCAGCGAATTTGGCAAAGATAACGTTTAAACGTAGGAAAGCTTTTATGCGTTGAGTGCTATGTACTGACGTTTTCAGCTGGTTATTTCTGCTAGTAAGAGCCGTTTCGCCTTTCTGTGAACATTTGTGCAGTCAGATTATCCGAGAGAGTACAACATCTTTACCTCTTTTAAAATATGAATCTCATTGTTCTTCCTTTACCGTACAGTTATGCTACCTGTGTCAAATGTTTTATTAAAAGGCCGTTTACGATACTTATTCTTGTTTGTATTATCCGTGGTTGATCATTCTTCTCTGTCTGGAGAACTATTGTATGCTTCAGATCAGTTATAGCATTCTCATTACATTTAATTGTAAGTAAATATTTTCGAACGCGTGTATCAATTAGTCAAGAGCAAATGGTGAAAAAATCTATTCAGTAATTATCTAGATGAGCATTTATTGTTCTGTCTATATGAGTATGTATGTCAATGTGACGTATCCTTAGATAACGTGCTTGGTAAAACTATATGAACACCTAACGAACGGGACCTACGCGTATATAAGAATGCATATGTGGGACGGTTTTAATGGCGCTATCATTGGTCGTATAATGTTAGGCAATGTGACATCAGCGATCGGTCGCGCACAGCTTCTATGTGCGCGCGTGGGTGCGTGCGTGTGTGCGCGCGTGCGTGCGTGTGTGCGATGTATGCGCGTGTGCATGTATGTTTGTTTGCGTGTGTGCGCACGCCATATCTCTATTCTCTACTTCTGATATCATGCACATTGTGGTTATATTATATTTATTGTACGACTGCTAGAAGATAGGGATTCCAGAAAGAATAGATTGTAGTGCTGTACGATCGTGCAGATTTTACGCATTCTCAAATAGATTTCTGACTGGACAGTCAGTGCGTAGCATGTGACGTCACATAGCAAGATGGCTGCTTCCATGGCAAGATATATTGCGAAAAATAATACAAAGTTTATAAAGTGTTTATCTGTTCAGAAACCACACGTGAGGTGTTTATCCTCTAAGAATGAAAGGTATAACTAAGAATAAACCCCGTTACGCCATCTGTAGATAAAAAAATACTACTATACATATGATCAGGAGTAGATGAAGAAGTTAGTAGTAGTAGTAGAAGAAGTAGTTCCAATCTTCATCTACTCCTGATATGATAATATGAGCCTAGCTAGAACCGGTTTTAGAATTTGTCATTTGACACAATTCAGCAGAAAAACATTCATTCTCATTCTCTGACGCAGGTTCAATATCACTAATGAGGTATGCCTACATTTACTGTAGAGTAGATCGAACATCTTATTGTACGCGCACATGCTTTGTAGAGAATTAACTCAAAAGTCCATCAAAACCACCAAATATTATGGAATATTAGATTGAAATAATAAATAAAGTAAGGGTACCAGTGGCGCTGAGAGGGTCTAATACCGTCTTATAGGCGTCTATGTCCCCCAGGGTACTGCCGGAACGTACCTTGGTACTATATAATATGCCGAACTGTACCTCGCCTACTCCACTAATGAGTCTAGGGAGTCGTCTACTCCCTAACGGTCCTAACCTTAACCCTAACCCTAACCCTAACCATATCAAATAGTTACCAGGGTACGTTCCGGCAGTACCCTGAGGTACATAGACCCTATAAGCACCACCAGTTTAGGCCGATGAAAGTTGATGTCATGGTTCTCGTCAGCGCCCGCATCAAATTTTACTCCCGCACCAAAAAAGTTCAACACTCATCGCTGACGAAATTCCCGCCTCAAAAAATCAACAATCTACAGTCAGCACTACATGTATGGAAGACAAACAGTAAAAATTTGAGTAAAAACTGTCAACAAAGAAGTTATGACATTTTTTAATCTTATTTTGCATATGTACAAGACCTGATATACCCTCACTAAGTTCTATTGGTTTGTAGATGAAAGATGAATGTTGATCTAAATCCCTCATCAAAATCTCAACAATGCCTGACGAGAACCATGAAATCAACTTTCATCGGCCTTAGCTTGGTGAATGCATCTTTTCATTTCGACCTTCGACAGATATTTCAGTTTTATAACCAATGAAAAGATTGTCACAAACTTATGCTCATAGGGTCTATGTCCCCCAGGGTACTGCCGGTACGTACCCTGGGTACGGTCCGGTATACAGGAACGTACCCTGGCCACTATTTGATATGGTTAGGGTTAGGATTAGGGTTCGGGTTTGGGTTCGGGTTAGGGAGTAGGCGTAGGCGACTACCTAGACTCGTTAGTGGAGTAGGCGAGGTATGGTACGGCATATTAGATAGTACCAGGGTATGTTCCGGTATACCGGACCGTACCCAGGGTACGTTCCGGCAGTACCCCGGGGGACATAGACCCTATCAGCCAAACTTATATATACCATCTAGTAAATGTTGAGGCTCCGCGTGAACAACCAATTTAGATAGCTAGCCACCACATCGTGATTAATACCCAATGTAAGTATAATTGATTAGTAATTTGCAAGACGTCATATATGCAGCTGGTGCTGGTTCTATCTATATAGTTCCCGTGTGAATTAGTATATATCCACATATTTCAGTGCTCTCATCTCAGCAAAGGAAGAGGTGAATGGCGTTAATTTCCATTATGTGCGACGCGGAGCAGGCGAACATCCCATCTTGCTTATGCCCGGTGCTCTTGGTAAGTTCTTGCATCTACGAAAGTACCTGTCAGCTAGGGTTAAAATTAGGAAAAATCTGCTATCTTACCTCCAAAAAATGTGCCAATTAAAATCTGGTTTTCCACACTTGTAAGTTTTAGGTTGTTTCTACGAAGTAGGAAAAAATTTCCCCCAAACCTTTCCACGCAAAAAGTGTATAGTTACTTTCACTTTTCCAGGAGCTAGTAGATTGGAAGATGCTTGGAAGATCCTGGAAAAAAATGGAAATGGGTTCATTTTGACCCCCTGGGCATGCAAAGCCAATGTGGTTGTTCTGTACCCCAAGTTCATTTATGTGGACCATACTTTAGTACCTATTATTATATTAGCACATTAAATACCAGTGTATGTTAAACTATGTGGTACCCTTCTCTCTTTCTTCCCTGAAAATTCGAATATATATATATATATATATATATATAATAGTGTTGAGAAAATTCTGTTTGCAATTGTATTTTAGGTTCAGGGAGCTCTGATTTTGGGCCACAACTAGAAAAGTTGGATGGAAGTCTCTTTACTATTATTGCTTGGGATCCCCGGGGATATGGAAAGAGCATTCCACCTGCTAGAGACTTTCCTCTTGACTTCTTCCATAGAGATGCTTCAGATGCTACCGGTCTAATGAATGTAAGCGAATACAATTATAATTTTTTCAAGAAAAAATGGTTTGTTAGCCATGTATATGTCCCATATCTAGCCCACATATGTGAGGTTAAATTCGTTAGTTGTCACGAAAATCCATTAAAAAAAAATATAAATGATACAACTGTCATTTGCTTATTGTAACCATTATTGCAGAAACTTGGATTTAAGAAATTTTCCATGCTTGGGTGGAGTGATGGTGGAATAACAGCATTGGTACTAGCAGGAACCTTTCCAGATGTGGTCAGGAAAATGGTTGTATGGGGTTCAAATGCTACCGTTACCGAAAAGGATATGAAAATGTATGATGGTGAGTTAATTGTTGTCACATTAGCGTGGACGTAACATCATCGAAATATTTTCGTGTATTAAAGCCGCTTATGTTATTATTAGTCGTGACGGAAATCAACTGGGCTTTATTCCTCATATCAGTCACTGCGTAAAAGACAGATCGCTTCGTGACTGGTGATGGCTGCTTCTGGTAGTTGCTCTTGAGATGATTATATAGGCTCTGTTTTACGAAACGCAGCTACTAGAGATATCAAAAACTGGAGCGAGAGGATGAAAGGCCCCATGCTTGCCATGTATGGAGAAGGCTTCCAGAAGCTCTGGTCAGACTGGATAGACGGTTTTGATCGCCTGCTCAGGGAGAAGGGCGGTGACCTCTGCTTGTCAGAGACCGACAAGGTGGGTTGCTCGTAACTGCACACCTGTCTACATGCACCACCTTTCGTTTTTTGCTTTGTTGAAGATATCAGAGATGTGGATAAGTGGAGTGAGCGCATGCGAGCGCCCTTGGTTGCTATATATGGGCGGGAGAACTTGCAGGCTCTTTGGTCGGCAGATCTGGATTATTTCTGGGGCGTACTAGATAGTAGAGGAGGTGATATCTGCAAAACTGAGATGACCAAGGTAAATCCATCACATTCAGCCCTTTTTAGTAATGTTTCTCTACCAATAATAACAGTGGAATTTACATCAATGCTAAAGTTACAATGCTCCTAAACAGATCAGTTATATATTAGCCCATGCAGGTTAATGATTATATATTAAATCGACTTTAAATCAATTCTCTGACCTAACCCCTAAATATTTAAATTATTTAACTGCCACAGAGTGACGGTGCTTCTCTATTGACTACTGCCTCTACTGCCATAACAACTACATACTGCGACAACAACAACAACAACAACAACAACAACAACAACAATGACAACTAGAG